TCAAAATAGGGAATGTGGTTCACCTATTGCACTGTCTCCTGAGCATCATTTCTCAGGACTCCCCAACGTAAGTATTCCTCCATTTCTCTTAGTGGAGCATTGGATTCCTTGCACTTCCCAGTTTCCAGTCAATGGAGTGGTGGACAGAAGTTTATTCCTTCTGGGTGATGCTTGAACTCATTATTCTACTCAAAGAGAAGAGGGCAAAGCTGGGTTCCCTCCTACCAATAGTCCTGGATAGTTTTCCCAAATGTATGGAAGGAGCAAGACCAGCCTATGTGGGAGCCTCTTCATAACTCTGGTTGAATTGAGTGTGTCCCTTCTTTTTGGTTATTCTCTTCATTTAGATGATCATGGAAAAGGGTCCTTGACTTCTCGTAATTCCACATGTGGAATGACAATTTTTATGCTATTGGTTGGACTTAGTTTGTTCCACAACCTCTTCCAATTTCGGGGTCTGGAGGTGTTGCCTTGCCTCTCAGGTTGGGAAAATAGGATTTCAGCTCATTATCCCTGGCTGCGTAATCTGTTTCTTTTGCTCTTTAGGTTGGGGCAAGGGTTTGTCCACTTTTGTGTTGATTGCCTTTTCTTCATGATTCTGGTGGCTTGACATGTAACATTCTGCAACTTTCAGGCTGCTTTCCAATAATACCATGTTAACAAAAAAAGGACAAAATAAAAAGTGGTCCTCATGCCCTAGACACCACGCCTTGGATCTAGATTTGGGTTCACAGCCCTATAATTGCATTGATGAGATGTAGGACCTCATCTACTTGGTTGGGGCCTGGATGAATTCATGTTCTTCTGATGATGATGTTAGGGTTTTGCCTCTGTGGCCAGTCAGCCTTTATCACCCAAGTATTAGATTTCTTGTTGTCCAGGCAAAGAGCACACCTGTTCCAGAAGTAGTGCACACCCCACTAATGTGCTATGACTATATCTCATTTTCACGCACCTATTTTCTATACAGATGCTTTCTGTATGGATTGAGCCCTCACCAGCCCCTCCAGGTAAGTGTGTTTCAGAACTTAACATTTTCCAATACTCTTGCACTCTCCTGCCTTTCTTCCCCATGAAATGGCTATTGAATAGGAAGTAATAATGGGGAGCTTATATATAGATCTAGGATAGGGGGCACATTGATGTAGGTGGAGAGAATCGCAAAATTTTAACTTGCTTTGGGCAATATAGTGGGGTATAAGGACTGAAGTATGTGAGAAGAGAAACTTTCATAGGGATGAAGCTATAATAAGAGGAAGTATTATCGGAAATACATTTTCAGTTTAGGAAAATGTTAATGTTTCTAATTTTCACATTTTAGTTACTTTTATGAAAAGATGTTTAGTGATAAAGAAAATATGTACATGAAAAATCAGAAATTTTAGACTTACATTAGAGTTGAAGCCTACTTCAGTAATTTGTGTTAAAGAGTGTACTTCCTTAGTACTGGTTTTTCATACTATATTTGTTTTTTACAAAATTATTAATGATCCTTTTAAATATTCATCTTGGAACACAAAATACATATACACTGGAATAGAATGTCCCAAAACTACTGTAATTTAATTGGCTTTCTAACTAAGCTATAAATGGGTTAAAAAATTCCATTACCTACTCAGAGTAGAAAACAATAGCAAACAATGAAATTGAGGCAAATATCTACTTATGGGCTGCAAGTAAGAAGTTTTGTAAAGAAAAAGCTGATCTTTCTATTAGTTAGAAAAATGTCTTAGAGCATTGTTGATATTTTTTAAAAGGCCCCTCATGAGCCAATAGGGAACATTTTTATTGAAAGAAAAAAACTACCCAATCTGGTTTTTCTTAATTTGAACTGAAATTTTTTGGACATGTTTATTGGCTAAAAAGAAGGCATTTCCCACACTCTCTTAGCATTGGGGCTGCAAAAAGTGGTTTGAAGTGGTAAGGTTACTGAAATTCATCAGCACATCGCAAGCTTAACAGCCAAGCACAAGAAGCATGGAAGTCTCCAAATGACACACAGAGGTATTATTAAGGAACCATTTAGAACCACCTTGGTAGATATTGTGCAGCAAGCCGTGTACAATATTTTGCCTGTAGCTGCTTTCAAAGTGTTATTGTCTGCTTATCCTACTGCTGACTATCGTGATGCTTTGACCATCCCTACCGAATCACAGGTGAAATCATCCATATCACAGTTGAAAGCTAAACATAAAAAGGTGATAGTAAAGGCATAAAAGGTTGGCAATTGTTTAATTAATGATGCTGAGAATGTGGCTTTATTGATATATACTGAATTTACTCCCAGCGGGTAGACCTTAGTACTAGCTAGTATGGAAACTTGAGGATGCTGTATTTCACTCAAAGATTTATCAATTAACAAACAAAAACTTATGGAGTTTCTATATTGAACTTACTTTTAATAATCAAAATTGTAGTGTAAAGACACCCCTTGGCTCCTGAGAGACGTGTTAAAATACAAAATAAGATGGGAGGGGTGTGTCCTGTAATTTTGAAATTTTTTATATTTTAAAGGAAGAAGATTGGAGGATCTAAATTTATGTTCTGGAATATCAATAGCTAAAGTATATATTTCAAGTTAGTTGGATATGCAGAAAGAAAATTTGAAATAGGCACTTTTAAGCATGTGTATCACATGACACAGAGAAGTGAAGACTGAGATTTTATTTAAATATTTCTTTTTGCAATTAAAAATTAAAATTTAGGTAATATAAAAATTTTAATTATAAACTATGTTTTAATACTAAACTTATTGACATACAGTGGTAATAGAATTATTTAATTAAATTTTAAATGTAATTCTGTAAAACCAAAAAGGTTGAGATGTGCACTTAAACATTCCTGTATATATAGGGTTAAAAGAAATATTAGTTCCTAATTCTCTGAAAGAAATTTGAAACCCCAAGACATGATTTATGGGAAATTGGGACAATGAGTTAAAAGGTGATGCGAGGCAAATTAAGGAAAATTTGAAAGTTTAAAAATAATTGCTTTTAAGTAAAAACAAAGTTAGGAAGTCCAGAAAGATTTGTGAGAAATGGTTAGCTGATAATATTAAAATTAATAGCAGGAATTTTGTAAGTAAAGGTAATTAAGATGATGGCAAGGTTAAAGACTATGAAGTGGTTGAGCTTGTAAATATTCTGAGGTTTTACAAGAGAGGATATTAGCAATATTCCAGACCATAAACATTTCATGGAAGATACTAGAAATGAGCTGAACCTTTTACATATGAGCTTGTAAACATTCTGAGTTTTTACAAGAGAGGATATTAGCAATATTCCAGACCATAAACATTTCATGCTAGAAATGAGCTGAACCTTTTACATATGAATCCCTTGATGGTAATTAGGGAAGGTTGAAAGATAGGATTAAAAATAAAGAACCAGGGTTTTAAAGGAGGTGAAAGGTCAGATATGTGAGCATCTTTTATTTTTATTAGGTCAATAAGCAGGTGCCTGAAAATTGGCAAGTTCCTGATGTTATTCCTGTTTTTTTTTTAAATATGATAGCAGTTGTCCTGGAAATTACAGGCCAGTTATTCTTACTTATGTAATAGGAAAATTTCTAAAGAGTCCAATAAAAGAAGCTTTACAAAATTCATTTAGCAAAATAAAAGCCATTATGGATTTACCAAAGGGTAATTTAACCATACTAATTTATCTTTTTATTTTTTCAGAGATGATACTTTTTTATGTGGATGATGAAAAGGGTATAGACCTGGTGTATTTAGATTTTTAAAAGCTTTTAATAAGGTGCTATATAAAAGAATAGCTAAAAAATTCACACTGTTATAGATTGGGAAAAGACTGGTTAATTGTATTGTAGGATGGGAGAAATGAAGGGTTGTTAATTGAGTGTGTTACTAGTGGAGCCTCAGGGGTCAATCTTGGGTCTTTGATTTTTATTATTTACATTAATTAGTCAAGTTTTCTGTTAACAATAAACTTTTGGGTACTAAGCTGTGTTGAGATGTTACTGAACGACTGGCATAAATTTGTAAGTTTGGCAGATATTTAGCATATCACCTTTAAGTGTAGTAAATACATTTGTATCACATGTTTAACATAGATGGGGTCCCACTTAATAAGGTGATTAAATAATATGATTTTTGATTAGTGGTGTAAAATTATTTAAGCCTTTGAAGGAGTAAAATTAATAGAATTTTAATGTTTATTGATAGAGATTGATTACAAGGCAAAAAATATTGTCTTTATACAAATCACTTGTTATGCCTTATTTGGAATACTATTTAACATGTTGGTGGCCTTATCTAAGAAAGAATATCGATTTATTTGAAAGGGTTAAGAAGAGGGCTACTAAGATTATTCAACAGATAAGAAGAGTCTTCTTAGTGAAATAGGTCAATATATCATCTTTTCTGTTGAAGAAATTGTAAGATGTGATCTTAATTTAGCTTACAAAATGATACAGGGGGATTGATAGGATAAATGCCTCTGATTTTTTTGTGCTATATCCTCAAAATAATTAGACTAGAAGATAGAAGATTAAGATTTGTAAAAGACAGGCCAGGCTCCAGTTTAGACAGTTTTATTTTTCTCTAACATGACAGTTGACTTATAGAATGAGATATGATCAACAGCAATGTAGGCTAGCACTTTACAGGAGTTTTAAGAGCATAATCAATGATTTCGTGAAAAGTAAATGGTGGTTATAGAGTTTTACTTTTCTTAAGGATGAGTGTGCAAGGACAGCCTTAAAAGACCCCTCGTTGTCCATGTGTTATGTTATCGTTGATAAGTTCTAAGTGATTGAACATGATTTCTCATCATGTATTTAGTTTCAGACTTGCAAGTGATTGATTCTCTATGAAGATGTAACATGTGATATTGAGTATGTTCAGAACGTATATTGAAGATTTTTCAGGGTATGTTATAAGTATTTTCAGATGTCATGCTTAATCATGTTTTATATGAGCATCTTAATTACATGTTACTTGTATAATTGAAGTTATGCACCTGGGTCTAATTTTCTTTTAGACCAAACTCAAGACTTATTGTATTTATTGTATGAATAACTACATATAACAACAGTCATAAGGACATGAAAAAGGTCATGATAACAAAAGGCCATACGGACCATCAAGATTTTCCCTATTCCTACCAGGATCAAAATGAAATGTAACTTTCGTGTCTATATATTTATTCAACAAGTATTTCCAAGAGTTTAATAGCACACTACATCATCAAGTAAGTATTCCACAAATTTATATCTTTTAATAGAAAAAAATAAATTTCCAATTGTTTATTACATCTGTAGCAGATTATCCAAAAATGACACCTAAATCATTTTTTTAAACAGTACTTTTCTCACACAAGAACCAAGTTCCTATATTTTCTATTTCCAAGTGCTTCATTTCTTTTTTCTTCCTAGTAATTGCAATTTCTTTAAGCTAGTAAGCAAAAGTCCTTCACTAGTAAGTTACAAAATAATAATAATAATAAAGGGTTTGAAACTGCATTCACGATTGAAATCACTATTCAAACTTGCCATGAAATCTTGTGATCTTGAAAATGTGTTAAGTTCATATCAATAAATATTGATAAAAAAAAAATTTCAGCTTATATCAAGTTACTAGCTGAACATTCGATTCCAGTGTACTTGTTAGTATGGCTGAAATATGCACTGTATGAACTTCACAACATGCAGATAACAGCAACTATTAATCAAAATATGGAAAGCATACTACTTACTAGTGAGGGCTTGTTTTATAATATAATAGATAATTGACTTATAACTATATGAAGTGATTTGATTTTGGGCAACATGTTTTGATAGCACATTAGTCTGTTTTCTTCAGGTTTATATACAAAATCATAAAGTACAGAGACAGAAGATGGAAGGGTTTAACGTTAAGGAACTTTGTCATCTCGTGACACCATTATAGCTAAAGACAAGATCAAGGCTGATAAAGTGTGTGAGTGAAAGCTAAGTGAATAAACTTAGCTAAGTTTGTTCTAATTGTTGCTAGGACCATTATCATAGTTTGTTGAAAGATCACCTGCTTTGATGATTTCTGTTGTTTCTAAGTTATCTCTTTTTTTTTACCCTTTTTTTCATTGTTCTTATCTTGAAACTTTGTTTTTTTCTAGGCCCATCATTAAGTCCAACATTTAGAAATATTATTGTCCAAGAAGATATCTAGATCTCTTACATAAATAACAAAGATCTTAAAAAAGACTTTGAAGAATTGTACAGTCACATTATAAAAACTGCCTGATTCTCATGTAATATCTGATTTTTTACAATCAACATAATTTTCTATGCATCTCTTAACTTTTTTTACCAATTCCATACGATCCTAGCTTATTAATTAACCTTTTGCAAGCGAACTTGTATAAAAGAGTTTCTTGAATGTTAAGCTACATAGTTTTAATTATGGTATGCTCATGCAAAAAACAACAACAAAATGCATCTTTTTAAAAAATAACATGTTAATTGGTTATGCAGACATAACCTTTTTTTAATCATGCTGAATGTCTTATTTGATATTAAGTTTTCCTAAATGACTTCTGACTTTTAATTCTTACACGTAACATATGCATGTCAAGCTACTGCTTCTAAGCCTATTTCTTTTTTCTGTCTTTTCTCTATCAGATATGCACTAACGGAGATTTTGTTAGCTTTAAAGTTGACAGAAATGACTAAATCATCATTTTGAAATATTGAGACACTGATGTGATTGAGTTTTTGGTATGCCAAACCAACCAAGAAAAATCCTGAAACTCTTACTTCCTTATTTGGCACTGAACATGTTAGACGCTGTACTAAAAACAAATATTTAGTCCAATATATACTTATCTGTTGTAGGGCTTAGTTGTGTGAAACTTTTTACTTTCTGAAGAGGACTGTAATTTCAGAGTGAAAGATACTGAAATACTAATTGATATTTTGATAAGTAATATTGAAAGTGTATCAGATAGAAGAATGTCACTAAACATGGTAGTGCTTATTATATAGGGATGGGTCAGGGAACAAATGACTGCTGCATATTATATATTGCTCATCAAATCTTTCTTATAAGAGACTTTTATAAACACCAAACGTAGATTTTGAGCTTTTCTAAGAGCTATTAAGACCTTCAGTTTAGCCAAAAAACACCACTAAAGTAGAGAACTGGCGAGTAGTGTAACAGCCAAACTTTTCTGTTGATTATACTGATTCTGGTATCAGAAGGGTTAGCTCACTAATGTTTGAAGTTGTTGAAATGATTTACACACCAAAATGTTGCATCTTAACTTGAAGAGTGCAGAAGCATTATAGCAATTCACTAACTTCCACACATGATGTCCATCAAGACAACTCATCACACCAGGGTAAGATTGCTGCCTTCATAGCGACTGCCATTCATTAATATTGATTGTTTATAAAATAAAAACAAGTAATAAATATTACAAAAAAAAAGGATGATGTAGGGATGATAATGCCAACAAGTGCAAAATCAAGGTAGGGAGGAATACACAAAACTATACAAAAATCCCTATATAAATAACCACTGAGTCAATGTTACAAAATTGGGAGACTTTATAGCATTATTCAATTTAAATGCTTTTATTCAAACTTGAAAAAATTTGTACTTATGTAGGAATTTTTGTATGTTTTGTGTATTCATCCATACCTTTTTTCTGTGATTTTTTGACGTTGCCATTCCTATATCATCCTTATTTTTTCAATTCATTTTTATTACTTGTGTAATGTCATTTTTGGTAGCATGTTTTTTCTCAAAAGAACTTAAGAAAACTATTTAAGAAACATACATGAAATTTACTTCAGATATTACCTTAGTTTTAAAATAGTTTCAATTATTTTATTAAAAATTACTCTGAGAAATTAATACCAAACAAGCAGATATGGATTATTGTGTACCTGTTTCTTTGTCATGTTTAACAGAAAAGTTAATGGGTACTCTAATTTACAAAACAATATTTCATTTCTGCACACAGTTTAGCACATGTCTGCCAAAGAGATTTGCATGCCGCTGCCCTTGAGGCAATACTGCCATCTAATTTCACATGATTTAATGTGAATTGCAGTACTGCTTGATGATATAATCATGGGACAAAGCCCTCCACCAATAGGAGGCCAACATACTTCCATGTACAATAACTCTCCCTATGCACTTGCATCCATGTAAACTACATTCTTTTCATTGCTATTGTATTGTTCAGACATGTTTAAATTTCTCAGCTGAGTTCAAGTTATTGAGATATGCATCATTAACAAAACTTTCAATTTTATTTGTTTGGCTTTTGTTGTGAAAACTTTTATTTTTATTGTGCCTTCTCGATAGATGGTGATTTATACTTAATCCTGAGTGAGTGACTTGCCTCAGTACCCTATAGATTCTGTCAGGTTGCATGGCATTTGCCTGCCTGATTCATGGCAAGGGTTTTTGTTTCCACCATTATAAGGTTGACTGGCTTCTTTGGGCCTCCATACATGAAGAAACTGCTCTACTTTCTAAGTTTCTTCTCCAGGAAGATGGAAGGGTGTGTTGGCTTGTCAAGGTGGAGAACTCTTTTTCTTACACCCATGAATAAATTTTGATTCATCTCAGGGTGTTTTTAACTTCATGATCAATCAGGCCTAACCTTCTCTTCTTTGGTTGAAAGCTATGGAACATTTCATATGCAGCATTCCAAACATCGGAACTCCCATATTGGACAAACAGCAATCGTGTCATTTTGTTGACTTGTCTTCTTCTGAATCTTGTCATGGTTCAGTTATCCTCTTCCAACCAAATTCTACCTACGGAGTGTACAAGTATTGCACCTTGTGATAACGATGTGTACAAGTATTGCACCTTGTGATAACGATGTGTACAAGTATTGCACCTTGTGATAACGATGTGTACAAGTATTGCACCTTGTGATAACGATGTGTACAAGTATTGCACCTTGTGATAACGATGTGTACAAGTATTGCACCTTGTGATAACGATGTGTACATGTATTGCA